CTGGGTTTCGAGGAACTCCAGCACGTAGTATGTCCATCGGTCAATCACCGCAACACCGACATCATTATCCGCATGGTGAGAGTAAGAAGACTGGTCAAGCTCACTCGATCCCGTCGCGACGATATTGGGCGAGTAGAAGTGGGTGTACATCGTATTCGCCTGGCAGGTGTCGATCATAAACAGCAATTCATGGTAGCGCTTCTTCTCCCACATCTGACCAAACGCGTCCGCCAAATCCCATGCGCCAATCTCTTCCGCATCCTGAAACTTCAGGAACTGGTCACCACCATGCCCGGTCATATACACCAGAACGTTGCTCCCCGCATCGGACCCAAGTCGCTTACTGCGCGGTACATCCTCGTCCAGACGGTCGGTCAAGAGACGGATGAAGTTCTCAACGGTCACCTCGTAGCCCCGATAGTCCACTTCAATGTTGTCTCCGTAGAGATCCACCGCACGGTCTGCGTTACTGTACACGGTTCCCGGGAAAGCGTTTCGGGGGTTGCAGGCCATGTCATCAGGCAGCATCAGGATGATCTGCGAATCGGGAATCCCGAGACGCTTGACGGTGCGGTACAGCGAGAGGACATTGGCGAGATGGCGGTAGTTGAACCAGAAGCGGGAGGTCGAGACTAGAACGGCCCAGTTCGATGTATGCTCCGTCGAGGCCGGGAGGATGCAGAAGAAGGAAAGGGTGAGAAGGAGTCTGAGGAATAACTGCATGGCGGAATGACTATAACATAATAACATATGTCTTAATCGAAATGAGCCAGCAATTCCAACGGAATTAGATCAGCAACGAGACGACACCAGCTGGCTATCGAAGACAGTCGAAGGGAAGAGCTAAAGATGCGAGATTCACGGAGCGGAAGTTGGAGAAAGGCGGAGAGCGGAGCGGCGCTAGCGGCGAGTTTTAAAGGGGCATCGTTTTGCGGATGCATGCAAAGAGCGCTATTTGACCTCGAAAACTGAAGATATGTTATGTAGAGGTCATAGTAAGCGCCTACTAGAGGCTTGAATAACAATCCACATCCTCATTCTGGCAGATCGTCCATAGGGCTCCCAAATCACATGCCATCCACGCTTTAGTCATCCCGCCGCCGGAGCCGGAGCTCATAGAGGATTCTCGTCCGATCCGTCACAACATCTTGTTTTGTCTCTTTCCTTGAGCACACGACACCACTTTGTTACTCAATATCACCAGCCAAAATGGGAGGCAAGAAAAACGTTGGCGAGAACTCCAAGAAGGCCGCTGGCCAGGCCCGTGTATGTCCCTACTTTTTTCCTTTATTCTTTTTTTTTTTTTTTCTTCAACCCCGCCCCCGCTTTCCAGTGACTCTTCGTACCTGTGTTCTACCGCGCAATGTGACTAAAAGCTAACGATGTGCGATACAGAAAGCCGATGCGGCCGCAGGCAAGAAGGCAGCCGAGGATTCCAAGCGAGCAGCTGAAGAGGAAAAGCAGTGGCAGAAGGGAGCCAAGGGGGGTAACTCCAAGAAGTAAGCCCGTCGCAACCATACATCTACTTCGAACCCGACCTCTAACCAAACCCCTCAACAAAACAGAGAAGATGCCGAATCCAAGAAAGCCGAAGCAGCTCGCAAGAAGGCCGAACGCGACGCCCAACTCGCCGAAGAAGAAGCATCCCAGCCCTCCAAGGGCGGCAAGGGCACCAAACAAGCAGCCCCCAAGAAGTCCCGCGGCCTCGACCTCGGCCAGCTCGACGACTCCCCCGCCGACCGCAAGACAAGTGCCCTCAACGCCACCGGTATCGACAACGCGCTGGACGCCCTGTCGCTCACAAACAAGGATTCCTCCAAGATCGACCGGCACCCGGAGCGGCGGTTCAAGGCTGCGTATGCTGCGTATGAGGCGCGTCGCATGCCCGAGGTTGAGGAGGAGAACCCGGGTCTTAGGAGACAGCAGCGGATCGATCTCATTAGGAAGGAGTTCGACAAGAGTGATGAGAATCCGTTTAACCAGGCACATGTGGCGTTTGATTCTACGAGGGATGAGATTGCTCATGTGCGGAATGCGGAGAGGAAGAAGGTGGAGACGAGATTGGCGAAATAAGCTGTCTCTTATGATCATTGAGTTTATGATGAGATGTCTTGTTTCTGGCATTCGTTATCAGGGTTGGGTGGCGCCGCGATCGTTATACCCGGAGCTACATGCTTCTAGATCGGAGGTTTGCGTCCCCAAAAGCGATGTGTTAGTGATGGTATGAGGGATAAATACCGCATTATGAATTATGTGACAGTATAGATTTGAAAACGTCAAATGGATACCTCTTGAACTAAAAGCTGTATTGAAAAACTTAAACATTCAATGCCCAATAAAATATATGGTATCTCACGGCAATCTATCTATCCAAAGCGGTTCATGCTCCCATAGCTGCTCGAACATCCCACACAAAAAGACTCTCATCCCACCCCGTACTAGCACACCATCCCTCGCTCCCAAACATACACCAGTCCACGCCCGTCACAAACTCAGTATGCTGGCCCATCCGTCCCAACTCTATACCCATAGACGGAGCGGGTCCCGAGCGCATTGTATCCAGGTCACCCATCCCAGCGTCCGACCCGTCACTCCACGCCCGACAGGTCATGTCATAGCTTCCCGAGAGAAGAATGTTGGACAGATGCGGCGACCAGGCCAGCTTGCGGACGGCATATTCGTGTCCAATCATCGCGGCCATGGGGCCCTGTTGTGGCGCACGGATATCGAATGTGCGGATAGTACGGTCGACGCCCGCCGTCGCCAGGACAGACGGACGGTATTTGTTCCAGTCATGCGTCAGCGCTTCGGATGGGGGACATGCTGCGGGAGGAACGCCCGGTGGTCCCGGTATGGGCGATACGGGCGCGGCATGGATCGGAATCTGTAGTGAGAGATGGTTGGAGGCGGAGGCGGGGGTGCGGAGATCGAAGATGCGAACGTAGGAATCGGAGGTGACGCAGGAGAGGATGTCGGGAGAATGGGGCGAGAAGGCGGCAGAGTAAGTGCAACTGTGCGTAGGGAGTGTAAGGAGCGACTGGGGACGGTGAGGCGACCAGACGCGCACAGTACCGTCCCAACTGGAGGAGCAGAAGCGGTCTTTGGCGACTAGATTCCAGCCCACGCTGAAGACCTCGCGGTTGTGTTCTTTCCAGTTCTGGACGGGGAAGTCGTTTAAATTGTTGTCGAAGAGCTTAATACTGCCATCTCCGGATGCTGCGAGGACCTGGTTCTCGTGGATTTCCGACCAGGCGAGGTCATAGAGGGAATCCTGGGTGGTGAACCTGGCAATAACCGTTGAAGTCAGCGGCGGGACGGTGACAGCGAGCGCGGATAGATAACAACCATTTCACCGGTACAATCCCATTGGGAGTCAGTTCCAATATATACAGTCGGCCATTTCCCACAAGCCCATAATTAGCTGATCCCGCAACAGCCAGCCGATTATCGAAGAAGGGGGAGTATTTGACCGCACAGCCGTTGTAGCCCTCGGTGCGGAAGCGGAGCATGATTCGCGTTCAAAGGCCGAGAAGGGATCAAAAGACGACAGTAGAGAAGCGACAGACAGTTACTTATGTTGGGTTTGTTGAGTGTCTTTCAAAATCCGCGCCAATTCATGAGTGGGCCAACATGCATGGTGGTTGTCGTGTAGAAGTAGAGGTAGAGGAAGAAGTTCAAGCAAAGAACATGAACCCGGGGATAAGAGACCTCGGTTCAGATGCAATGACCTCACCCTACCCGACCGCAACGGTGTCCTGGTAGTTTACAGAATAGATTGGCGGAGACATAGCTACTCCGTAGTAATTGAGAAGAATAGTTTTTAAAATTGTTTCTTTTTATCTTTCATACTCGTGACTTCGGTGTTATGATCCGTAGAAATATATCTGTGACGCAGTGTGGGTACCCATTTATTGACCATGATAATGAGAGAGGGAGAGACATACATATGAATACGGAAACCTTTTTCGTCTCTCAAAAATAGTTGTATGTAAAACGGATTGGATCCAGAGTACCCTTCGACATAGGCAAAGTGTAAAGCATTGGGTACCAAACCCGGTCACTTAAGCCGGGTATGTCGAGTATGTTAGGGCAGAGAAGTTGTCCCTATGCCATATGAAGAGGGTTTTCTCAAGACCGGACCATTGCCTTCATACTATCCCGGTCTTCGATTCTTCGTTCCCTGTCTGTGAAGTGGCTGGCATCAAAAACAATGTCGCTCACTTTTAGTCCCACGGTATCAGCAAATCCTGCCTCGAGAAAGCATGCCATCAGGGAGGTACTCAGCAAAAATAAACATCATGCTATCAATCCTGCTGTGACAGTAGGTTCATCTTATATTCCTGAGGGTCTAGACTCGTGATAATGCCCATGGCGCAGAAAACCGCTAGATGGCAGGGTGTTCCATAAGATCTCAACGATTCGGGGAATTTCGTCTCAAATGACATACTGAACTGGGATAAACATTTACCTGATAGTAAAAGTTTGCTCTGGATTCCTATATCAGCTAACTCGCTCTAGGCAGTGGTCATTGTAGCCCCGCAATATCACGTGTGGGGAAGTCACACTGATCCTGAGAATCTGGGATCAATTGATAAGAGATCGATATTCATATTTCAATTCCTATAGGTACATCTATCTACACAGTATGGATAGTTTCCACGCTAATGGGCTCTACGGAGTGCAACCCCAAGGCCGGAGTACGGAGTATGCTTACCGCATTAAGAAGTTGACAGACGAACCTCAACTTTGGCAATTCATGCTCAATGACCTCACTATTGGATTGAACTGTTGTATACCTTGCAAGCTACACATTCCTTCAGCTCATACCGCATAATATGCTATCAACGCCTCCGATATCGTAGCAGTGAATCACGCCTGTTCCCTGTCAAAGGAATCTCCGCAGGCGTGGCCCTAAACCTAAACAGGTATGGCGTTGTCATTCGAAGGGCGCGCAGGTCACCTGATATCAATCCACTAAACCACGGTTTGGTACGATCTCCGGCCAGTAACGAAGGTCAATGGAGAAAAGATGATGACTCGACGCAGAAAAACGGGGCTTATCTTCCTTCTACGCCTACATACCTCCAAAGGGTAGGTAGACGATTGGTTCGCTGCTACTCCGTACTCCGGAGAAAAAAGCATACTCCGTAGGGGACCCTCCCCCGATTAGCTGCTCCACGGCGCCCAAAGGTACTTCCGGTATGCTTTTTATACCTTTACTCCTCTCTATTCGTGCTGTCTGACTCTTTTCTCATTTTATCTTTTCACATCGTTTCAGTGCACGGTTGATTCTTGGTTTCCCTCGGTTTGGTCGATTAGTAATGGAGTACTTCGATTTCGAAGGTGCCTCCCACGACTCCTTTACCCAGGATGATGATGTGGCTTCAGATCAGCTTGAATTAGACGAAATCGACGCCATTGCCCGTCAAGACTCGCTTATGTTGGACCAGTCGCTGGAGGGGCTTCCCAATGGCCCTCCAGAGCAGGACGTCACCAAGCAGCAGGTCCCAGATGCTGTCGAACCTCCCTCGGAGACTGGAATGTTTCCAATTGTTCGGACCAAGGAACCCTGCAATTTCTGCGCGCGGATGGGATTGGATTGCTTTGTTGCGAGACGGGGTGTGATGCAGAAGGCCTGCACATGCTGCATCTCCCTTTACCGCGAATGCAGTTTCAATACCACCAAAAAGCCTGGCAAGTTCTTGGACACTTTACACACCGTCTCCGAAAACGTGGACATTCCGACAGGCGGCCTGACTGGGAAGCGGGCGATGAAGTCCCTTACTGGTGTGTTGACGCCGGAGGAAATGGAAGCACGGTCGAAGAAGAACAATGCTCGATTGTCCCGAGAAGCGGTTCGCGTCCTGAAAACTTGGCTGTATAACCATCGCGAGCATCCCTATCCGAATGAACAGGAGAAAGAGGAATTGAAGGAGCGCACAGGATTGAAGAGGACTCAGATCTCCAACTGGCTTGCCAATGCCAGACGGCGCGGCAAGGTCCGCTCTGCAAATAGTGCCTCCCCGGCTCAAAATATTCCTAGCCAAGAACCCGACATGTCCCTCATGACACCAATGGAAAGATGGAAGCATTCTCCACCAGAAAATGAACCTGCCGACAAGTCTGATATTCTTCGCGCCCTGATGACCACCCCATTGGACCCCTCCAAACCACGACCGTCCCAGCCGGCGGGGCACGTACGTTCCCTTTCTCGAAAAACGGGGTCTAGCAACGATGAATCAAGCCTTGTCAATTCCAATCGACAACCTGCATCCAACTCAGTCAGCAGCTTCGAAACCAGTCACTCCTCTATGTCTGACTTCTCTTTTGCATCTGCTTTCTCCCACCGATCTTCCCTGGGATCCTTCGGTTCAATGGATAGGAAGGATCGTCGACGTCGTCGCAAGGCTTCTGCTCCTGTGAATGAATTTGCTCAGCAAAAGGCCCGGAGTGCCCGTATCTTCCAATGCACATTCTGTGCAGACTCTTTCCCGACAAAGTACGACTGGCAACGGCACGAAAAATCTCTTCATCTGGCTCTAGAGAAATGGACATGCTCTCCCGAGGGTGGTACTGCGATCATTGATGATACACGTCGCTGCGTGTTTTGTATGGCATGCGATCCGGACGACGACCATTTGATATCTCACGACTTTAGCCTGTGCCACGAAAAGATGCCTCATGAGAGGACTTTCTTCCGCAAAGACCATCTTAACCAGCACTTACGATTGATGCACAATGTGAAGTTCCACCATTCCATGGACAAGTGGCGCAGCATCACCACAGAAATCAAATCCCGTTGCGGATTTTGTTTGACAACCTTCACCACTTGGAAAGAACGAGTTGACCACTTGGCAGCACATTTCAAGAACGGCGCAGACATGGCACATTGGCAGGGCGATTGGGGCTTCGAGCCATTTGTGCAAAGTCGTGTTGAGAGCGCGGTGCCGCCGTACCTAATTGGTCACGAGAGAAAGACACCGAACCCTTTCAAAACTTCGCATGCTATGGCTCCCTCAGATAGCTCATTCAATGAGTTCTCTACAGGTCTCAAGGGAAGGCTTGATGATTCTAACTGCTATAATCGTCTCCAACTCGAACTCACGGCCTACGTCCACAAAAGCCTCGCGGCTGGCATCAGTCCTACCGACCACATGTTACAAGACGAATCTCGAAGAATCATATACGGAAACGATGATCCCTGGAACCAGACTGGTGCCGATAACCCTGTTTGGCTAAGCGCACTCAAGCGCGATACTGGACTCATTCCTAACTCCGAGCATATCCAATTCGACAATCTGATGCAACCACCATTTGCAGCCCAGGGTAGTTTGCGACAGCCACCCATCGAGACCAACTCTTTCGCAAGGACAATGTACCAACAAGATCCATACAGCCTCCGCGCCAGTTCGTCAGGCTTCCAAAGCCCAGCACTCCGCACTGGTCGATCATCTACCGCCGCAAGCGCCCCTGGGAGCTCATCCGGAAGCTATGCCTGTAGTACTGGAGCCTTTCCAACAGCGTCTAACCCCAGGACCTCAGGCGAATGGGGAGGTGTTCACTCGGCTGGTATCTCGTCCTTGTCCACCCCCGTCAGCGGCTCCGTTGATCCCTTTGCGCAAATGGAGTTCGATCCGCCGTTCATGCAACAATTTGACGAGGGCTATGACGGATTGCAAGATGGACTCGAAGGTCTTACCTTCGAGGGTCTCGAAGATGTTGGTCTTTCGGACGATATAGAGAAGTTGCCTGAGTCTCTGGATCTGCCGGCGTTCCCTGCTAGCAATGAGATGTCGGTACCGATTGATATACCCAGCCCAAAGCAGCAACCTGGCACCCATGCGCCTGATGCTTCTGGCATGGGCTTCCAGTATTACGGAATGGATAACCAGGAGATGAATCACTAACATCTATCTTGACGAGTACAAATTATGACCATGATAAAAGTTTCTTTCTTCGTTTTTGCCTAGTATTGGCGCTCTTATGACTTGACTTCTTAGTGCATTGTTCTGTCATTCGCATTTAGTACATACATAATTATATCAATTCTTATATATGTCACTTCCACGCCCGTAGCAAGGAAAATTCAACATTCTCTGAGGATCAACTTTCTATAAGTATTCGTAGTAGTACTGAAGGCCTACTGATAGTGCGATAAGATAAGCCGGCCAAAGCGTGGCCGCTCATCTCCAACGCGGCGATGATTGATCGTTAACAAACATCGAGGCCAGCACCATGTCCTCAACCAGACTACCCAATATCCCCTCTCTGAGGAAACACCAATTACTTCTTGAATTGTGAGTCGTCTTTTCTACGCGATCCTGAGATCCAGTGTACTAACGCCAAACCAGCGCAAGTCTGAAACATGCCGCTCCTCCTGGTGTCTACGTGAGCCTCACGCCGGGCGATCCCACGCTTTGGTCTAGTGTGCTCTTTGTTCGTTCTGGTATGTTTATTGAAGTGAGGAATAATGTCCAACGGCTAATTGAATCGTCTTGCGTGCTCGAAAAGGCCCCTATGCTTCTGCCGTGCTCCGATTCCAAATTCGCTTCCCCACCTCCTATCCCGATCTCCCACCCCTGGTGACCTTCTCTACCGACGTCTTCCACCCATTGATCGTTCCTCTTACCACATATACCTTTAGCACCAATGCATCGACCGAGGACCCTGTCAGCGCGACTGATGAAGAGCGTTTATCACCGGGCGGGTTCAGCCTCCGCCATGGATTCCCACATTGGTTTGGCAGAGCGAAGAGAAGCGGGGTATCAACTGCGTCTTCGAGGGCGGTAAGCGTCCAGGGTCGTGGTCCAGTATTGGGAGAAGCAACTGCTGCGAGGGAAAGCCAAGGAAACGATAAGACGGATTCTGCAAAAGGTCAAGGAGAGGATGGGACAACAGAGCAATGTCCCGAGCCGAGGAAGACGGTACCAGTTGCAGAACTGTTAGATTATATCCGATCGACGTTCGAAGATGAGTCGGTTCTTGATTTCCTGACGCTAGAAGCTGCTGGGAATCCGGGCGCGTGGCATGCGTGGAGGGCCCATAGAGGTAGCAGTAATTCTGCGACGAAGAGCGACCCCAAACGAGGGAGTCCACAGACAAGGCTCCCTGGTGACTGGCATTGGGATGGGATATGGGCCAAGCGCGTTCGGAGTGAGGTTGAGGCGAGCCATTCGGAACCCATGTTGTATGGGAATTCGGCTCGTGCGGTGGGCGATGAGATGGTGTGTTCATGGGTCGCGATTGCCTCAGTATTGCGGGAGTTCGGTTTGCTGATATCAGGTTGCAGATACGCTTTTCTCGCATGGATGATGCCAGTATGGCTTCGATTAAAGAGAGGATCATTCCTCGCACGGAGGAGGTACACGAATAATTGCATGATTCTAGTTTCTGTTTCAGCTGTATCATTATACCCGGGATCTATTGAGGTTTCCCTTGTCTGTCGCGTACTTGCTCTTTCCTGTTTCGGAATCCAACAATATTGCACCTTCCTTCTTTGCACGAAATGCATCCTTCCCGGAATCACTGCATTGTGTCTTCCCAAATTCCCGACGTCCTCTTCTTCTTCCATCCACATCCGAGCATACTACTACTTTACTCTCTTAGTCGCAGGCTCAATATGCCAAGAGTTGTATCCTTCAGTGTCAAGACCTCCGCCCTCGTGATCGCATTGGTTCTGGTCCCCATCGTCGTCCTCTGTTGCTGTCTTGCTGTTGCGATTGCCTGCTCAGAGTACTGGAGCTCCAGGTCTTCTCGCTGCTCCTGTTGCCCACGAATCCGCTTCGGCTGGTTCAAAGGACTCAAAGGGCGCAAGAGGAAGCACTCAGATCCCACTTCCTCCAGTTCGACCGAAACGCCTGGACTCTCGGCGACCCCTTCTGTGTACGGTGACCCTGTCCTTACAAGGGAACAAGTCTAACTCTACGCCGTGGCTTGTTTTTTGTCTTCCTTCCCTTTCCCAGACGAACTATACTCACCAATGGAAGACATCATACCGAAGCCCCTCCGGGTTATCAAGACGCAATCGAACTCCAAGCATGAAATCCGTTCGGTATCACGATCGTCTTATCCCTCGATTCCCTGCAGAAGCTCTTCTCTACGTTTGGATTCGCGGCAGGTTTCAAGTGACTCTTCATGTTCGACGACACCACCACCACCACCCCCTCTTAGTGATGACTCTGAACCGATCAAGATCCGAAAAAGAAGTCGAGCCTATGCACTATCAAGCCAAAATCGAGATAGTGAAGGCCAATCCGTCAGCTATCCCAGGAGGTTTGATGAAGTACCGCACCCACCATCGCTCCTCTTGTCGATCCCACTGACATTCATAGAAGACCGATAGGCAAACATTCCCAGAGACCGGCTATCGAAAAGAGTCGAAGTCGCGTTTTTTCAGTGGTTGGAGTTTCAAATCCTGGAGCTCGACAATGAGACGCCTTTCCTTTGATCAGACAAACGGTCCCGACGATTCGCATCCGACCATTGCTTCAAAGACGTACAACGGGAACGTTACCGCCGAGAAAGATTCAGGGCCAATTGCCTATCCCTCGACAGACTTTTTGATCCACGAAAAAGCTGATGTTTTGATGCCACGAACTATTCCCATTACTGGAATCGATATGAACACTGCCGCGAACCCCCCTATCATTGGCACCGGCCCTGATTCTATATGGGCTACGGTGAACATCTCCGCAGAGGCCAGCTCTAATGAACCCTTTAACCTTGGATGGCCTGCACCTTTGGATGTTGTGATTATTTTGGACATTGTGTAAGTTTTCTCTTTTCGGCAATGTTCCGAGTCAATATCTAACCGAACCAGACCTCACATACATATCAGCATGCTACGGCAGATAGTCGCCAGCTCGTTGGCTATTGTGTCTTCGTTGACTGCTGTTGACGATCGATTTGCCATTTCCTATATCGACAAAGACTCTGCAGACGGTTTTGGATTGCTTCTTCCTCTAGGCGTGCATTCTCTGGACTCTGCCCGTATCGCAATGGATGTTTTTTCGCTCCATCAGCTCACTGGTCAACGGTCAAGAAAGATCGAGTTGCAGAAAATCATTCAGCAGATATCGGAGACTGTCTATCTTCGTGACCGGCCAGCAGTCTGTCATGCATTCTTCGTTACAGCATCCCCTTCGGTGCGACTCTTCACTCCTGCGACGGACAGAGGAATCGGCTTTCATACTATATCTCCACATTTTCGATTCCCTTTTAGCGGATCCGATATTCCTTCTGGGTGGCACATCTTCTATGATACTAATAGCTACGATGCAAATTCAAAAGAAGCCGTGTTGAGGTACAAGATCTCTACGGCGATCGAACACATGCGTACTGGAGTTGAGCCGGGTGTCGTGACGGATTTGAAGCTGAGTATCGCTGCTGGTGATCGGTGCCAAGTACAGACCGTGTTCGAAGAGTGCCATTTGGATTTACTACGGCCGGGGGAGAAATGGACGGTGCCTGTTCAGGTCAGAGTGCCCGCGGCTTTGATCAGACAGCCTCTACAGGTGACTGATGGAAACACTACCTGCCACAACAGCCATCCCACTGTCGAAAAAGTCATGACACAACTTCAAGATTTACTGACGGACTTTTCCCATGATGACATCACGCAGCACATCATGTCCGCACGGCTCGAGTACAGGCATACATTGTTACCTGCCCACAATATCGTTCAATTGGAGAGTTCTTGCATGGTTGTACGTGATGTACATGAGTTTGGGATTGCGTCGTTGGAACCTTGAGAGGACCGCTGTCTGGTATCCTTTGATGTTTTGAATATGGATTATCATGTAGTTTTAGTGAGAAAGTCTGATTTGTTGGTCTTGTGTTCGATGCAAGTACTAAAAGTTACTGAATCAAGGTGTTCTATTTATCTACACTTTGTCGCCTGATGGCTGTGAAGCTACAAAGTTGGTCAACGTAGGAGCCTGCTCCTCAGTTGGTTTATTCGCCCATAATGGTTCACCATCATCATCGAACTCTGCCCATTGGAAGAATGAGCATCCTTTACCCCTGGGGGCATAGCCTGCATAACACATCCACATGTATCTACCCCTAGTTTCTCGCTTCCGTTGCGCACAGCGCAAGATAGCATGCGTCCCACAACGGCACTTCGGGGTATACCTTGGATGAAGTGAATCTCGATACCATCGGTAAGTGATATTTATCCGCCGATTCCCAGATACGGAATGTGGGTTCACAGTCTGGGCCGGGGTTATGGCATGTTTCCACTCCTCTTGCATTTCCGCATGCATGACCAAAAAGGAGTTGTGCGGTAGATGAATGGATATCTGGCCCTGGGCGTCTGCGCGTGCATTTTGTTTCTGCTTTTGCGCTGCTGTATCATTATCGTCGTCACCATCATCATCATCAGCATCAGCACCAGCAACAACCCTTCGAACCCGAAACTCCCTCTCAACCCCCAAACTCAAACTCCCAATAACAGCCCTCGGCCCCAAATACGTCAACTCATCCGAATGAAACCCCACACTCTCCGCCGGCCCATCATAACAATTCACAAACGCCGCATTGGGCCTCCACATCTTCGGCGACTGATACCTCAATTTCTCTCCCCGGGGATAAACGTCCCGAATCCGTCTCCTTATCTCCTCGTTCACAGCATCTTGTACCTTGCCCGAGACATCGCGCATATGCGGCGTGATCTGCCGGACATTCGACCGGTATGTTCCACCGTATGTATACTCAGATGTCTGTTGGCGGTATTCCTCCGGCGTGGAGACGTAGACACTAGCGGAGTGCGGGCTTTGCACGGTGCGCTCGAAGAGTTGGAATTTGTGGCGGGAGAAGTGTGGGGATTCGGAAAGGAGTTCTTGGAGGAGGGCGGTTGCTGTGTGGGTGGGGAGGAAGTTGTGGATTATTGTGCAGGGGGTGTGGTAGGCTATGTCTTGGGGTGTGTAGAGGTGGAGGGTGCGGCCTTTGCGGGTTAGGGGTTGTTGTCGTTGGGGGTTTTTTGGGATTGGGAGGTTGGTGTTGGGTTTTGGGGAGGGTGTTATGTGTGGGAGGAGGGATGTTTGGATTCCGGAAGGGATTGCTCGTTTCTTCGGGGTTGTCGTGATTGCTTTGGACTCGGTGCTGGCTGTTTCTCGCTGCTGCTGCTGCTGCTGCTGCTGCGGTGTCGAGAGGATTGACGAGGCCCCTTCAACGGAGCCACCGCATGACACTAAAGTATCCAGCAGAGCCTCCTGTGTCACATTAGGGAAAATGGACAAGAGCAGTGCCAACTTCACCTCCGTCAGTTCCTCGTCGGACGTGGCTACGGGTGCCGGTGGTGCCGATGGTTGCGAGCGGCCCAACCGGGGCCTTTTCCTGGAGACAAAAGCGTCCATTTGGAGGGCTGCCAGCTCGTTAAGGAAGCCATCAAGAGGGACAGTGCCGATGATGCATTGGTATGGCTGAGGAGAGAGGATGAAGGCGTGGAGATTCGTCTGGAGATTCGTCTGGAGATTCGTCTGGAGAGTATAAGTTTTATCAGCACGTGATTTTTATCAGTCCGGCCAATCAGGATGTAGATACTATGAAGCCTTCTAGATCTTGGAGTAAAGTACACGATGATATTATACATTATAGTACAATGGAATGTCATTTCCACTTCCCATCACCGAGATATACATGCCCCTGTTTATGGTAGTCTGCCAGCAGCTTCCCTTGTCGCAACCCATCATACATCTCAACCAACGCACCCAGCACCACCGTCGTCGATCCGAAATAGGGCTCATCGTCAGCAGCCGAGACAGACTCGGGATGATTCACATCCGGAAAGTTCTCCTCAATGACCTTAATAGGACACCGTGAGATATCCACATCCTCGACCTCCCTCGCCGCTTCATCCACAATCCCCGTCATCGCCGCCAGCACCGCATCGTCAATCAACATACACACCCTCAACCGCACCGGCAACTCAATAGCCGGTACAGAAAGCGCAACCTTCCAATCATGAAATGCATCCCGGACGAACCCCTCATCAACCCCATGCAATGTCTCCTGCGAACTAAACACCTTAGACGAGTAACATTGTTCAAGCCGCGCAAGTTGCTCAGAACTCCCCTCAAGAACACGCGAGAGGGATTTACGGATTGTCTCGTTCAGGCCGCGCAGGTATAGTAAGATGAGACGCTGGGACTCCGGGGCGTATGTAGTGCGGTAGATAACAGGGCCCCAGGTTAGGGTGATAAAGTCGCGTTCGGGGCTGGGAGGGAGAGAGCGGAGGCCTGGTTGGGAGCCTAGACGGTAGACTTCTTTTTGGAGGAAGATGTTGGCTGGGGAGTGGAAGTTTGGGGGCTCGGCTGGATCTGTCATTATATGCTTAAATATGTGTATGTAGATTTGGTGGATATATATATCTTGGGGTCGATTGGTTCTGGTAGTATATATGATATGGTTTTCGTCAGAGTGACATGTCCGGATCCGAGTACTATTGTAACGGTATCATTTCCAGATACCTTTCGATCACGAACCAAAAAAAAAAAAAAAAGAGAAAGAAAAAAAGAAAGAAGAGAGGAGGCGCATCCATTCATTCAATGGATCAAAAAAAAAAAAAGTAAAAAGTGATTCCGACACGGGGAATCGAACCCCGAGCTGCCGTGTGAGAGACGGCGATGTTAACCATTACACCATATCGGACTGCTACGGTGAAAGTCTGTTTAGCTTTGATTTTCACCTTCCTAGTTTAGCGCCACTTGTTTTTGTAGTTTCCTCAAAATTCACCGATAGAAGTATGTTTTCCTTATGACTTGATATGAAGGCTATGTCGATGCTCACTTTTTATAGGTTGATATACATCTTTCTATGCCATACGAGTCCCATACACAGATTTTAGGGAGCCACCCCGGGCACAAAGAAATTCAATAGCTCGGATTTCTGTGAGGCCTCAGGCTCAGGCTTCTTTCTACCTGTGCAGGGTAATTTAGACACTTGGTGGAAGGAGAGAGAAAAGGTGCTGGAGCGAGCATTGGCAAAACTTCCTGTTGAGCTACGTGACATGGTGAGAGAACAAGCAGATGATACCATTGATCTGGAAGAGGCGAAGCGGCAAAGAGTGAGGCTTCTGAAAGAACGAACGATGATGGCCAAACAGAAGGATGCTTTGTTCGAGGATGCATCCATTGGTCTCGCATGATGAGCACAGATCCCATTTGCCTGAAAAATGTAACATAACAAATATCCAAACATCCAAACCTAACGATGTATACCAACCTGCGTCAGATGACATTGAGTCAAAAGAAAGGAGAGCACACTGCTCCCATCATCCTCCCGAGCCAATGATTGTTGAGTCACCTGCTATTCCTGTCATCGCCGAGTCCAATCCTGTACCGGTCAACCCGACTTACTGGAACCAAGACTCCTTCCGCCCAACATTGAGCCCTCTAGCAAAACGGTTTCCATCACGAGACAGACACGGAAAATGTGCACATGTACATCCCACATGACTCCCGACACATTTTATTCGTCTTGCCAGCAATTGCTCAATGATAACTCACTTCCCTTCATCGTTTTCTTCGACATTTCAACGGGAGTAGTTGATTTTGTCCATCAATACACCGATTCTATGCTTGCCGAAATTTGTGATGATGGTCGGTGATTTGCGAGGGTTCACAATGACACGTTCGACCTACAAATACTCACAATAAGTGATGTGGCCCAAAGCTGCACAAGAATGCCATGTATTATCTTCCATGGGAAGGGTGAATTTCGCTCCAAGTTGACACCATGTCCCGCTGAGGGACTCTCTTTTCCTATCTTAAACTCGAACACAAATGAGTGGACATTGCCAAATTGAGCATTACATTGATCCTAATTCTTCAACTATGAGCTAATCTGAATTTCTGCGGCTTACTTTTGTTTAAACATGCATCCTTCAAAGGCTTGGCGTTGTTTGCTTTTACTCTAACAGAGCTTTTCTGTTTTTGAATACTCATCGAGTTGTTTACTTGCCACTTTTCAGGGAGGGGGCTAGAGCAAATTGAAACTTACTCATATTCTTAGCTGTTAGCTGCTTCATTTCGATATTCATAAAGAGGTGCTTTCTTTTTGAATCCGGCGGACGCGATCTTCAATTAAGATTGCACTATCGATGCAGTCTGTATCTCTGTTTTTGAATTCGAGTTCGGCAAGAGCCGTTCTTTCAGGCTGCACATAGGAAAAATCGAGATTGAAAGTGATCGGGTTGCCTTCGTGATTGCCTTCAATGATGCGGTTTCCAATATCTTCGAAAAATTCCCTGCGTTTCTTCTTTCTCGTGGCCTCGAAGAGTCGTTTTCGGTGTGTCCTGGTGACGGTCTGAAGCCTTCGGAGTTCCTGATGGCGCTCATCTCCGGCCTTCTTGGCAAGTTCTAACCGACCAAAATCTTTGAGAAGGGCGCCTCGAATCGAACTGACCGCCTCCTTCAATCTATCTAAATATGGGTCCAATTCAATGGCACTCTTTTGTGCTATATCTAAGCCATTTGGGGCGGAAGCATCGCGTGTGAGGCTTGCATGGCACGCGAGACGGAGTAGGGCGTCCCTAGACGGGGTCTCCATGAAGGCAGATTGGACGTCGTCCCCAACACTCACATAGTTGGCGAACAATTTCCCATCCTTCTGACCCATAACTAAGTTTCGCGATGTTCATCGAGATGTCCTATAAATTCCGGTTAACCCTTGTTTCGTTAAGGCAATCCTGATCCTCCAAGGCCACTTATCTGCATAGCCGCTCCTTTACGGTATTTATAAAAAGTACCGTCGTCTTCAAAGCCGACTAACCCGCTCGCGGCTTTCTCCGGCTTTTCCGCTTGTTTGTACTTCATAGGTCGGACGGGATCTATAATAACTCTCTGTGCCTTGTCTCGCATAGTACCTCTTAAGGATACAGACTTCCCGGAGACTTTTTTCTTGAAATGGATCGGAGTGCTAAGGCGATGCTCTGGAACATCCGTGAAACGCCAGAGATCCCTGAGAGATTTGATATATTGGCTGTCAAAGGCGTCATCGTAGAATGCAAACGTAAGTATGTCCTGAATGACACAAAGACCTAGGCTATCGTTCCGCTCGGTATACGTGAAGGTGGGGCTAAGTCGAATCAGAAGCTGTGGCACTACCCATCCAACATGTCACTTTACTCACGGTACTCCTTTATTCCGTCGTCTCTTCAGCAGTCTGTGCCTGACTCTCATAAGGAGCTCGCGGCGATTTGGATCTTCAGGATGTTTCACCATGGAAAGTGCCACGTCTTTCCATTTCAGGGCGTCCCCGACATTTTCATGCGCATTAGACTCAATCAAAGTCCCAGGCCGGGCCGTTGAGGAGCACATCATTTTCCGCATTGAATTCAACTGAATTAGGGTCCGAAAGGTGGGAAAGGCCAGATCGCACACAGCCAACAGATGCCGTGTGGTGAATAAAAGATGGTCAATGTTGATAGGGGGTTGTTCTTTTGCACCCTTATCGAGGCTCCACTCGTTGGTGAGGGTGTTAGAGGTCAGCTTTGAAAGTCAGTTGGAGTCTTTCAACAATCTGGCGAATTGGAGAAGTTACACTTGGAACTTACATAGGTCACCTTCCGCGATAATTCTAAAGGTAGTGAGTTTCCCGTTTCTTCGCGAACCTACATTCTCCAGAAACGAACCATAGTGAGAAAGCCTGACTGATACTCTTAAGTTGTGATTTTCATGATACCAGCGAAAAAAGCCTTCAATGACTCTCAATGAGAGATTTTCGGATCGGAGCCAATAGGTGAGTTCTGGCGGATTAAGATGGCTTACAAATCTGCCAGAGTGTCAACTAGAGAGTCACAAATAAGTAGATAGAAAGGATAACAACCTTCGAAAGGCATTTTGAGCTTCTCGCAATTTATCTCTTGTGGGTTTTGCAAGATCTGCCTGGACTTGCGGATCCGGCTCTCGGATGAACGAATTCCAGTCAAACACCATCCTGTACTTGGTAGGGGGTTTCGATCTCTAAATCATTCAAGGGTGAGGTCTGCAGCATATACACTTGGCTTTTTATGTTCCATTTCCACCGATGACAGAAGCGCTGCCACGACTATAGGTAACCGACACTAAGACGCTGCGGCCAATCACCTCTTCCCGAGGTTCGCGTTAGTATCCACGCACTAAATCCCAAATTGGCATGGTGTTGACGCTAGCGACATACTATAGTTGGCTACAATGCCTAAGTGGAAACACCACGACTTTGCGATTTCAGACCACGCCATATCATGGCCATTCCACCGTCATTGCCGTTTACACCATATCAAATGTTGTTGATATTCTTTATAACTTATAGTTGCTATCTACAAATGCCTCCTATTTATGTCCATTCTTCTGGTTGAATTCGTCTGCCACCCTCCGTGCCGTGCTGACAATGTCCAAACACCCTGGCGAATCTGAATGGCAGCACATGGACAGAGGGTAGTTCTTCAACTGCAACTGCACCACTGTCCCATCCACCGCCGTGACCGAACTGTCCTCGATCTGCTGGCGAATGTGCCTCTCAGCATCGCCCAGATCCCACGGTTTCTTCTTACGGTCAATCACCAACATTCCCCGCGAATCATACTTGACGTCACCATAAAGTTCGGCCCAGAATTCAATCCCCAAATCATTGGCAGCACGCTCCATATTAGTCCCCGCAAGACCAAACACCGGAACGCCCTTGGGAATCCCCTCCATCACAGCCTTGGCTACCTCATAGTCCCGGCACATCATCCCATACAGCACCCCATGGGGCTTGACGTGGTTAAGAGGCACGCCCTCACGGTCCAGGAAGCCCTTCAGCGCTCCGACTTGGTAGATGGTGATCGCCGTTAATTCCTCGGGCGAGAGCTTCATTTCCCGTCGCCCGAAACCTTGGAGATCCGGTAGGCCCGGGTGTGCTCCTACCCGGACGCTGTGGGCTTTGCAATTGCGGATGGTATCCATCATGATCAGGGGGTCGCCGCCGTGGAAGCCGCAGGCGACGTTGGCGATATCGATCATGGGGAGGAGCTCGAGGTCGGGTCCGAGGGACCAGTTGCCGTACTGTTTATCATCGTCAACCAAACAATTCCAATTCAGCTATTAAAGGATAAAGAGGGGAAATCGTACAGCTTCCCCCAGGTCAACATTGATTAATGCTTTTTGTTGAATCGGAGGCATGGTGATGTGTAGTCCGATATGAGTATGGGGCCCCGTACTCTCTCAAAACAAGAAGAACAACAGATGGTGATCACTGAATCACCACAGCTGAATTGCTGAGACCAATCCCAATAGATATAAGCAACCTAATGAGGGGTTCGGAGTCCGTGCTTGCAGAGTGGACATGGGAGAGCCACATCGCCACTGCGTATTGCGTCTCCAACTCGGCCAACCGATCAATAGCACACCTCACAGATACTCTATCGAAACATGACCCCAAATGCCCCAGGCTATTTTCGGTCCACACCCCCGTCGATCCGGAGGTCCTTGATAACAGGATGAGCGCCGTTATTGGGTCCCGGCGCCGAGAGGCACGTAAGTACAGTTACTTTGGGTAGCTTTGTAACCGAGGGATTGGAGAGGAGTAAGATAACACCCCTCGTTAGCTGGCCTTTTAAAGATAGCCAACGGATTCCTGCAGAATTACTTACTGCGATTATTGTATATGTCTCTGCTCGTACAATGAACTCTCTCAAGACGTTATTAGTCGCCAATCGAGGCGAGATTGCTGTGCGCATTTTGAAGACTGCGAGGTATGTAGCTCTGGAACTGAGCGCGCATGACGCATGCTAATTGCCTTTGATAAATAGGAAGCTCAACATTCGAACGGTCGCAGTCTACACAGAACCTGATGCTGCTTCAACACATGTCCATCTCGCAGATCAAGCTGTTCTCCTCTCGGGCCATCCGTCAAAAGCATACATCGATGGGTACGATCACTACTCCCCGAGATTGACCGCCACGCTAACAGCACGACAGAGACCAAATCATAGACATCGCGAAACGAAATAATGTCGATGCGATCATCCCCGGATACGGATTCTTGTCTGAGAATTCCGACTTTGCTAGAGCTGCCACCGCTGCAGGGATTGTCTTTGCAGGTCCTTCGCCGGAGAGCATCGAAGCGTTTGGACTTAAACATACTGCTAGGGATTTGGCCACAAAAGCCGGTGTTCCCATCGTTCCTGGATCGAAGGGCCTGGTGACGACTGAAGATGAGGCGGTTCAGGTGTCCAAAGGCTTGGGATTTCCAGTAAGCCACCCAGGTCTTACCTGATAATCTGAGTACGGATTAACTGACACCCCCAGGTCATGCTCAAAGCCACCGCGGGCGGTGGTGGAATGGGATTGCTTACCTGCAACTCCGAATCAGAGGTGCGCGAGTCCTTCGCCACAGTTCGATCCAGAGGCGAAGCTCTTTTCAAGAATGCGGGGATGTTCATCGAACGATACTACCCATCCAGCCACCATATCGAAGTCCAAGTCTTCGGAAACGGAGACAGAAAAGCAATCTATATTGGCGAGCGTGAATGCTCCATCCAAAGAAGACACCAGAAGGTCATCGAGGAGTGTCCCAGTCCGTTTGTCTCGAGGAATTCAGGCCTGCGAGAGAAACTGGGTGAAGCTGCCGTTAGTTTGGCGGAGTCCATCAAGTATGGCTCGGCTGGTACGATTGAGTATCTCGTTGATGATGAGACGGGGGCTTTCTTTTTCTTAGAAATGAACACGCGATTGCAGGTTGAGCATGGGATTACAGAACTCTGCTATGGTGTTGACTTGGTGGAGCTCATGTTGAAACAAGCAGACGCCCAGGCTTCTGGGAAGAAGGGCTTAGAGGCGTCATTCTTGACCAATCTGCCGCTGAAGGGGCCTTCTGGGTCTGCCATCGAAGCTCGTGTCTATGCTGAGAATCCGATTAAAGACTTTGCTCCTTGCCCGGGAACATTACAGGATGTCGAGTGGAAGGAGATCCCGGGGTCTCGGATCGACACATGGGTCTACAGAGGCATCAAAGTATCTGCCAATTACGATCCTCTGCTAGCCAAGGTCATGTACCATTCTTCGAGTCGACAAGATGCTATCAAGGGCCTACAGACTATCCTAACCGAGTCACGAATCTGCGGCCCAACAACAAACCTTGAGTTCCTGTCCAAGATCCTCGATGACGAGCGGTTCATCGCCGGAAACACATTGACCAGATTCTTGGACAACTTCCAGTTCAGCCCCTCTGCAATCGATGTCGTGTCTGGCGGTGCCTACACCCTCATCGAGGACTGGCCTGGCCGCCCAACCCTTGGCAGAGGTTTCTGCCACTCAGGACCTATGGACCCATTAGCATTCCGCATTGCAAACGCACTCGTCGGAAACCCCGTTGGTACTGAGGCTTTGGAAATCACATTGAGTGGACCCGAACTACGCTTCCTGGGCCCAGCGCTGGTCTCACTGTGCGGTGCGTCGGTTGATGCCAAACTTGACGGTACTCCGATCTCAATGTGGTCTCGGATCGAGGTCTCCACTGGTCAGCGCTTGACTATTGGCAAGACCAACGGAAACGGATGTCGTTCCTATCTCGCTGTGTATGGAGGCTTCACCAACGTCGCCCAATGGTTCGGATCGAAGGCGACTGCACCGATGGTAGGCGTTGGTGGCTACCAGGGACGACAGCTTGTGTCTGGTGATCTCCTGTCTATTACAAATCAATTGCCAAATGTCAGCGGTGACCTTCGCCTGCCGGACCATCTTATCCCCAAGTACCCCGACCGTTGGGAACTTCTCTCCATGCCTGGTCCTTACGACCAGGGCTATATCGTCCCGGAGAGCATCGACATGCTCTACGAGACAGACTGGAAGATCTCGCACAACGCAGCTCGCGGAGGAATCCGTCTCATCGGCCCGAAACCCAAATGGGCTCGTTCGGACGGCGGAGAGGGCGGAGCGCATCCATCGAACCTGATCGAATACGGATATGCCATTGGTTCCCTAAACTGGACTGGTGACGACCCGGTTATCTTCCCGCAGGATGGACCGGATTTCGGTGGATTTATCAGCAGTCATACGATTGTCAAGGCGGACTTGTGGAAATTAGGGCAGGTTAAAGCTGGTGATACGCTGAGATATCGGGCTGTTTCTCTCGCGGATGCTATTTCTGCAAGGAAGGAGACAGAGAAGTTTGTCGATGAGGTGGTGCAGTGCTGCTATCAAGGACAGGACTTTGATGGCATTCAGCCTTTGAAGGATGAGCTTCCCCCGGTTCTAACGAAGGAGTCTCGTGGAAGTGGTGTTGTTCACCAAATTCAGGAGAAGGGTAACCAGCCGCTTGTTTCTTATCGACAGGCTGGTGATGATTACATCTTGATTGACTACGGTCATGGTGCTTTCGACTTGAACCACCGCTGCAGAGTGACTGCTCTCAAGAAAGCTCTGAATGAGGGCAAGGGAGACATTACCTTCTCCAACGGATTGATTGGCATGGTTGGATGTGGTAACTGCACGTCAACCCCTCCCTCAAAGCTCCCACTACACCCACTAACACTCTCCAGCCCTAATGCTCTACTACGACGGCCTCAAAACCCCCCAACCCAAACTCCTACAATACCTAACCTCCATCGAAGCCGCCCTAGGCGACCTCAGCGCAGCCAAAATGCCCAGCCGCCTCTTCAAGCTCCCGTTGACCTTCGAAAGCCAGCGCCAAAAAGACGCCCTGAAACGCTACATGGAGACGCAACGGCCCTACGCCTCCTACCTTCCCGACAATTTAGAGTTCGTGGCGAAGAACAACGCGTTTAACAGAGAGCAGTTTGAGAAGATTTTCCTAACTGCGAAATTGATGGTTGTTTCGGTAGGGTTTTTCACGGCGCTACCGCTGGCGTTGCCGGTTGATCCGAGGCAGAGGATGAATTGTCCGAAGATGAATCCTAGTCGGGTTTATACGCCTGCTGGGTCGGTTTCGTGGGGTGGGAGTTGTATGGCGTGAGTCCTTCCCCCCTAGCCCTATCATAACCATATCAGATCAAATGTTAACAAACAAAGACTATACAACGTCGACTCCCCCGGCGGCTACCAAATGACCGGCATGACAATCCCCGGCGTCGACATTCTCGGCACCAAAAAGAACTACACCCCCAACCGCCCGTGGCTCTTCGAAGACTTCGACCAAATAACCTTCTACCGCGTAACCGAAGCCGAATACGAGAAACAACTCGCGCTCTTCAACAGCGGGCGCTACGAGTACGAATGGGAAGAAGTCATCTTCGACATGGAGGAGCATAATCGGTTGCTTAGGGATACGAGGGAGGAGGTTGCGAGGATTAGGGAGGAGCAGAGGGGGGCGCAGAGGGAGATGGATGAGCTTGAGGGGGTTTTGTTGGAGAGGTGGGGGAGGGAGAAGGCGGAGAGGGGGGTGCCGGTTGATGAGGTTGCGGAGTTGTTGAAAGGTATGTTCTTTTTCCCCTTTCCTTTTTGCTGAGTGCTTTTTGGGGTAGAGGCTGATTGTGTAGATCCTGAGATTCTGCCTGTTGAAGCACCGCTCAATGCGAATGTGTGGAAGGTCGAAGTGAGCCAAGGCGACAAGATTGGCAAGGACCAGGTCGTTATCATTCTCGAAGCGATGAAACTCGAGATCGCTGTCCGGGCTGATCCGGCGGCTGTTGGGACGACTGTTGAGAAGGTCTTGGTCCAGCAGGGTGATTCGATCGAGGCTGGGAAGCCTTTACTCTTCGCTAGGAAGGCCTCGAAATAGGAATTACAAGACGTTGTATATAGCTAAAGGGCCCTGGTCACCCTCTGATTTTGGTTTAGCAATGAGCAATGATATTGTCTAGTACCTATTTTCCAACGCCACCCAATGCAGTGGTATCAATCAATCATGGTCACATCAAGAATATCCTACTCCCACCAAAAACTAACACTGGCACCCGCCTTCAATCCCCGGACGTAATGCCACCATCCAACCGGGATATAAAGACATTCCCCTTCCTTAAGCACAGTCTCGACGTACTCCGCCTGCAAGAACCCAGGCCAAAGTGCATCCCACTGGTCCTCTTCAGCCGGGGAAAGCTCAATGGATGTCAAGTCAACCTGCGACGTATTCGACATGTCAATGAGCTGGTGGTTTGGTTTCTGTTCTTCGGATCCTGTCTGGTTCTTTGCAGGGGATGAGGCGACGGCTTCCCTTCCACGGGGGTAGATTTGGGAGGCTGGCGTGTGTGGTGAGTAGAGACGAACGTATTTGGTGCCTACTACCTGGACGAGGATATTGTGGTATGGGTCGTGGTGGAGGGGTGATATAGTCCATGCGGGGCCGATCCAAGTGTTGATTATGGGGTCGTCTGGGAGGCTTATTTCGGAGGATTCTGAGTTTCTTTGGTTGCTGTTGTCACCGTTTGTATCTTCGGAGGTTTTTGCGCCATTCGCTTTGGCATTTTCTGCCTGTTCCCGCTGCTTCTTGAGATAGACCGGCGTCCCAGGTTCCGCCGCTGGAGGATCAATATAGCAATAATCCGGTATGCAAATATCTTTCCTCAACGCCGGAATCTGCGACAAAAGATCATGCTGCGCCATATACCCCGTCTGACCAGAATCCTCCTCCCCCGACATCGTCTCATCCCTCCAAACAAACCTATCCACAAACTCTCCAAACTCCATAATCCGCTGCCCCCATCCCTCATCCGTATATGACCTCCCAACCTCCACAGGAACTAGCCGTTTTCCACTAAACGTCCGATCCATCCAGTAATCCCGCGACGACCAAGGTCTCGCCGACATGGCTGGCCAATGCTCTACTGCATCCGTTATCACCAGCGGCGTCCGGACATCTTGTATATGGTGCTCGATGGCGTCGAACGACGGCGCTGAGAGACGGGGAATCGGCGATTTTAAGCGCATAGAGGGGGCTGTATCGGGTGGGAATAGCGGAGGGGAGAACTTTCTGCGTTTAGCAGCACGGTAGCATTCCGAGTCATCACTTTCGTCGCCTTTAGAGTCTGCGTTTTGTACCGTAGCGGCTTGGAGAGTAGATAGGAGGGTTTCAACGAGTGATTCACGTAACGGCGCACCGGTCATTATCAACGCTTTATCGAGCACATGAATAGTCGGCGATAACCACGCGTTGGGGTGAATCTTCCACTTCATCGTCGCGCCATTCCCCTGCTCCAATAACCTCTCAACCCATCGTGCGCAAAGCTCCTTGCCCGTCTTATGTTTCCCTATGCCATCATTATCCCCCTCGTCGTCCAGGGCCCCGCAGTTCTCAACGATCACCAGACAAGCTTTCACGATACTCGCGTCGGTATACAGTCGTCGCCAGCAATTCTCCACATCTTTGAAGGGGAAAACGCGCAGTTTCGCGTCGGCGAGGTTGAGGGCTAGGTCTTGGCATTTGAATAGGAGGTCGTGGAGGGCGTTGAGGTTGTGTTTTGTGCACTGGCGTATGGGGTCTTCGGGGATTGGTTCGGCGATGGTGGAGAGTGCGTGGGCAACCACGGATGGGAGAGATGTGGACATCTCTTGGGTAGGCCGTTGAAGCGTATATTAGCACTGTTTCATGTGGAATGAAATGAGGAGTTCGAGCAGGAATGGCGTGGAATCATGGTTGTTGCGTTGGTGTTGTTGTGGTGTTGAAGATTATTTTTTTGAGGAACATAACGTCATCGCTAAACCGATAACTATTCCTTTCTATGACTTCCATTCAGGGCTCAACCACAAAGTAAACAAATTCAAAGAACTATCGTACATCATTCAGTTTGGCTTTTAAATAATATACAAAATGTATCATAACAAAGACTGGTCATGTATCCGTCCACTGAACGCCGTGAATGCATATATATAGCTTGCTCAATCCAAAAACTCCATAACCAACTTCGGAATGCGATCAACACCCTGCCCTCTAATCGCGCTCACAGGAACAGTAACCAGCTTCTTTTTCCATCCATCCTGCTGTCCACAAGGGTGCTCAATCTCGCCCTTCTCAATGCCCGATAGATACTCCCGTAGCTCCTTGTATCGCTGCTGAGTCTCTGGCAGATCAGCCTTGGTAGCCACGACGAACCATGGCTTCGTATGGATAGGCGGGTGTTCGAGAGAGGGAAGGGGGTCTTTGGGACCGAATGAGACATTAATGGGACCGTCCATAGACTTAGACGCGCGCATCTCTTGTCGTTCTTCTTCGAGCTCTGGGAGGCCATGTGTTGATAGATCGAATGAAGTTGTGTCGTCCTCCGAGGCCTGCTCAGTGTCGCGGACCTGTTTGTATTCGCGGAGCTCGTGCCATAAGTTATTGAGCCCTTGGATGGGGTCTCCGGCGTTGAGATCAACCACGAAAGCAAGAATACCTGCTCGCTCGATGTGACGCAAAAATCCCAGTCCCAGACCACGGTCCAGATGCGCATCTTCGATCAAACCTGGGATGTCCGCGATCGTGAACTTGGTTCGCTTCGACTTGCTCTCAACCAGCGGTCTCCCTTTGAAGTCATCAATAACCACAGTTCCGATACTCGGGGAGAGCGTGGTGAACTCCCAGTCTCCGATTCGCGTGCGACTGTTGGTCAATGACCGGAGTAGCGTACTCTTTCCGGCATTGGGTTTTCCTACCAACCCCACGTCTGCCAGTAGTTTCAATTCAAAGTCCAGTTCCAAACGAACACCACCCTCGCCCCTAGATGCGAAATTCGGCTTGGTGTTTGTACGAGAAGCAAAGTGAGGGTTTCCCAATCCGCCAACAGCTCCAGCAGCCAACAAGATCGGTTTGTCCATAGGCCTCGAGAGATCAAGATGAATCGGCGCCTTGGGTTCCAACGCAGCAATCTGCGGCCGCCGAGGCGGATTATCCGGAAACACCGTCGTCAAGAAATCCGACGGTTTGGCACCGGGATACAGCACCCAGCGGTCATGGCGAATAGACGATAGTCCCATCTCATCCATCTCATCCACATCCTCCTCGACCTTTGGTTTCCTCCGCATTTTATGATTGATCTCTTCCTCCGCGACAGGATCATACCGGGATACCTCCCGGACTACCGTTCCAACGGGGACCTGGATCAGAACATCCTCTCCTCGCTTCCCTCCTTTGCTCTTTCCGCGACCATTCTTCCCTCTTTCAGCCCTGATGACACCTCTGCGCGCCAGTTTATGCAAACTGGTCATGTTCTCGATCGCTTGGATGTAGATACCCCCGCCACTACCTCCGTCGCCGCCGTTCGCGGGACCCTCCTCGATATATTTCTCTCGTAGAAACGCAACACACCCATGTCCTCCGGACCCTGCGAACATGACCGAGCGGCATTTGTCCTGGAATATGAAGCGGGAGTAATCGTCCGGTGATGGGTTCAGGTATGAAAGATCTTGCGGTGGTGGTTCGGAGGACGGAGAGGGGATGTCATCGTTTGATCGCGCGCGCTCAGTGTCAGTGCTTTGATGTCGACGACACGTCTGAAACCCGGGGAATATTCGCTGCGAGGAACGTACACGAACGGTTCGTCTGAAGAGGAGAGAGGAGAATGATGAGAGACCGGTTCGGGGGTTTGCCATCCTGCTCACGAAGTTGCTGGTGGCAGGTCTTCTGTATGGTCAATTGGATAGTCTTGTTCAGGAGACACACATATTCCGAATACCAGCCTGATCAAGATGATGACAGTAGAATTATCGATTTGTCTTGGTGAGTTGAGGATGCATCTGGAGTCCCGCAAATTCGTGATGATGTCGATAAGCTCACGTGACGATAAGAACTACATTGTATACCTGAGGCAGGATTGTCATCGCAACTTCATCTTCGATCTTTATTCATCCTTCGACGACATTCTCCCTCGTTGCAATCGCCATTGGCAATCTACAGAATACTGCGGTACCTTAACTCCTTGCATCTGAATCAAACGCCAACCTACTCATAACAACCCCGACCAGGATCATTACCGGATACACACAGAGACCTTGTTTGAGACCGGCTAATAGAGCCGCCAGCCGGCATGTATCAATCGACGATCCATCTGCAAGCCTAATTACGGCTCCATGCAACCGAGTACCGGGGGGGGGTTACGGATCATTCTGGTCCTGCATACTATGCGGGTACGATTACTTGTACGCCATCCGATGTGATATGAAATTATTTGAATCAAGCAGGACCCTCGGAAGCCGGCTGGCGTGCATTATTGGAGCATGGGCATGTGCTATGTTACCGGGATGGGATTCCTAGTCTAGTGTTGAGACGGGCGAAACGAGACTAAGCACCATCGGATCATCACATCACATCAAAAACCGGGAAGGAATCACACAGCTCGAGACGAACGACCGAACGGGTGAGATAGACAGGTGATGGTTTGATTTTGATACAGGTATAGCTTAAAACTAAAACCAATCACCGGGGCCGGAAACAGCGTCGCGCTTATGACGAAATGCGACTCCATAGCTTCTAACTAGTATCGTGAGCCGGGGCCATGGGGAGGCTGGGGCTTTTGGATGAATACACAAACGGAGAAGACCTAGTGTCGTTCCGTGTCTAGCCTAGGGATGACAATGCGAGGAGGAACGGGGGGCAAAAGTACGGCGGCGCAGCAGGTCGGAAGGACCATGCGTGATGGCTGGTTTGCAGATGCAAGCTGAGATTTGGTACTTTTGCGATGTGATCTGTGACCAGGGCCAGATGGAAGATCGACCTGTGTCCGAGCTTATCGGACAGGTTGCATCGGGTTAATTCATTATTATAGAGTGCATGCGTATTTGTACCATGGGCTTGTACTGCTTGTACCGCATAGAACGGAATTGCCCTGTTTGCGTGAGGTCGCTTTTCTTGATAGAGCAATCCGAAGTGTTCAGATCACATCTTCTGTACAGCGTTGCCATGGCCTCACCGGCGGTGTGCCACATGTCCGTGTCCGCGCCTGCTATTTGTGTACTTGCGCATGCAGAATGCAATGCAGCCACTCGAGATCCGGTTTCGATCAAGCCACGTTTGATAAATCGGCATATGTGCAAATGCTTGCAGGGTACAGAGTACACCGATCTAACCTATCAACGAATGAGTCAGTAGTCGGTGTATATACCGGGATCGTGGCCTGTTTATGACTGCATTGCATTGCATGGGTACAAGTACATGGTACGTACAGAGTACAGATACGTAGATATGCTTATTCCCTGATAGGTAAACGGTAAATTTATGTAACATCCATGCACTGAGTGACAGTACTTAGTTCGCTGTGCCGTATACTCCGTCCACATGCCTCCATGCAATGCCGTATGACTTGACCGCTACCGTTGACCTGCCAATGGTACGCCTTACGAGGCGTGGCTTCTCATGAAGTCCTCCGTATGGAGTACTCCGTATACAGCTGCGTATCGAGCTCTGCAGTGCGAGGTAGGGGACATACGCACACCGATGTGTATAGAGCACTGCATCCACCCGGTATCCCAGCAGTAGACACATATTCAACAATTCAACCAAACAAGAAAAAAAGGTCTGGACTTCAATCTTATGAATCGCACTGCAAAAGATTGATTAAATCCATGGTTCTCGAAGCCTCGATGCCCCATAATCTATTTGCTCCAGTACTAGGGTACGTACTTCATACCCTCAAAATAATAACACATAATGCGATATCATACCGCCTGATCTAAAATATGAGTGGGTGGGATCAATTAATTAATCAATCAGGCAATCAGTCAATCAATCAATCGCTCGAGCGAGACTTGTCCGACTCGATCCCGCTATTTCGCTCTAACATATTAAAAAAGTTGTCTAGTGTACCAGTACGCTGTATTCCCCGTTATCCCCGATCCCCGACCTTGGGGCGAGAGACTTTCCTTCTCGGGACAAGTTTACGGTTTTTGACGGGGAAAGTCCCAAACATATGCAAGGCCCAATAGGAAGCGATCCGGGGACCCGGTGGGAGGGAGAACTCGCTGTGTGTCAGGATTTGCAGCAGTTCACATGTCTGTGGGTCTTGCTGACCGAGAAGATTAGGGTCTCTGTAAAGTACGGTGTAAGAGCAAGTAAAGAAAGGCTGGTGTTATCCGTCACCGCGGCACCGGGGCCGGATTCCGGTGGGAAAAAGACGGGTTTTTTCAGCGTGGCCAGTAGAAGATTTTAGAGCGGCTATCAAAGAAGTTTGTGTCTTCGTTATGGAGCAAGGTGTGGCTGAGGGTTAAGTGGATCCTGTGACATTTGTTTTGTGATTGAACAGAACTGTTTCCGGAGGGGTATCGGTTCCGTGGGACATTCTTCCCAGTACATAGTGTGCCAGACCGCTGGACAAGGTTACGGGAGAATAATCCTGAGTTTGGTACGCCAGGAACATAGTCCGGATAACTAACTGTCACTAGTCCAAGTGATCCTAAAGTATGTTTGTCCCGGCCTTTGTTATCTGGAGACTGGAGGATTTGCCACTATGGAGAAAGGACGGACATTCCCATCTGATATGACGATCAGCATTCCCTTTCCCAAAGTCTTTCAGACCGTACTTCTGTTTCCCCGAACTTCCGGTCTTCCGATCCAAGGAGAAAAAGTTAGGCTGCTCCATACCGAAAGGAAAAAAGGGACCGGCCAATGAGAATTCCATTCGGGCAGTTGCTCTGTCCCAGGGGAAACCACCGATCCACTGTTTCGCATTTACTCTCGATCACAGCGATCTATCACCACAGTGGGGTTTATTATTGGTCCGGGGAGCAGATCCTGGTTACCGGTCACAGTTGTATTGGTACCAGTACTTGTACGTAGTACAAGTACTAGTGTTCCGTACGACTGGTATTTTTGTTGTTTTGGGTAAGACATGTCAACGAATGTTGGTGGCAAATGTTCTAGAAATCCTTAATTGTTCCAGCGAGGCGAATGGAAATGGCCGGAGATGTGGCATGACTCGTTGCCATGTCGTAGGAGTCCTCCGTACACCAGACACGGTGGTTAATAATAACAGCCAAATAATAGTAGTATGATACTATTGTCGACTCCATACCAAGTCCGATCCCGTGTCACATTGTCACATCAACGCTAGCTGAAGCAGTGGGCAGACGGCGAACACCGTGGTCACCGCAACAATTCGTTGTATCTCATACAGCGTGGCAGGAATTTACCCCCCTGACGACGTCATATGGCGGACCCGACAATTCGGCACCAGCGTTGTCGATCGTCAAGTCAATCGCGCCTGAAGAATGCGTATGAAGTATGGAATTCGGATGGAAAACCTCATTTCCTCGACCAAACAGATCCAACGACTAGCTCGGAGTATTTACCGTAATCCCTGGAAATCCGAAATCCGGTCACCGCTCGTCGTATGTATGAATACCCAAGTCCCACGAGAAGCTAATCCTAGAGTGGAGATGGACGAAAGGAGAAACCACGGGTGGATCAAAGAAAGCCTTTAGACTCTGAGAAGGTACCAGGGGTACGGTACTGTAGATGCTATGTACAGATGTCGAACCGGAGTGCTGTAACCGTATTCTCGCGTGAGATGAGCGCGACGTAGATCAGAGGTCAAGGCGGCCGTTTTGTTCCTCAAGTCGGGATGTCCATTGGTTGGTAATTCTCGTACGGCCCTTACAACGATACTGGCATTCCATCTGGATGCTCCTGTGACTGTTGGGGCTGTTCCTTGAAAGAGTGGACTGAAGACTGATTCATAATCGCGTGCTCTTTGTGCTGTTGTAACCTTTCGATTGCATCGTACACATCGGCCTCCGTGTATCCAGCAGTCGCCATCTCTGCTGCCAGATATTGGGCTGGCCGGCGGTATGAGTATCTCAATACTCTACTAGGAATCACTCTGAACATCCCTGCGTCCATGAGTATTCTGGCGAATCTGTCCAAATCCGGAAGAGTCTTTCTGAAACCCAGAACATTCCACCCCTCAAAGGGTGGGAGCTTTTCGAGTCCTAAGGCGCTCCTATATTGCCCTACCAAATCATTCAAGGCTAAGCGAGCAGTCAACATTCCCTTCAACTCCGTAATTGGTGTTCAATGTTATTCGGGTTCTTCAGGTAACGCCGGACATAGTCGGCAACCTGCCTTGTTTCCGTGTAGGACTCGCAGCCTTTCTGGGCCTTTCTATACAGTCGTATCAGATGCTTCATGTCTTGCATGTCAGCTTGTAGATTCGAGAGTTGACTCCTTGCGCTAGTATGTTCCCCGGAGCTGTTGTCCAAGCGAGAACAACAACCTCTACAACAGCAAGGCAGAAGCTATGACGTAGGAAAACATTTCGTCATTGCGTCATTGTTATGACTAGATACTTATAAAGACGATGCCTGAATGTCCTGCCCAAAGGATGAAAAGTACAGATGAAGAAAAAAAAAAAAAAAATGAATGATAGAGGGGAAGGAGGGGCAGAAGCGGAGGAGGGGCAGTTTTCACATGATCTGCACCCGCCAGGTCAGTCACGCTGCAACATTTTACATTTGAGAATTCACGTATAGGATTCCGAGGTGTCCGAATGGATATCACGATGGACACGATATCGCGCTAGGTACTGATGCCATCAGGATTCCTGCGATTAACTGCTGGACAGGCTGCATTTTTTTTCTGTATCATGATGAAAGGTCTCCGTTTTTGACACCGCCAGATCACAGCCTGCCCCGCCGTCGGTGCTATCTCGGAGTGATAGGATGAAGATTCGGAATACCCCTCATTATCAGGTGGATTAGATGCCCATGTATTTTGCATGCACGGGAAAGGGAGATAGACAGGACAACCCCGCGGGACAGACGGATTTACAAAGGGACTGGGCAGCAGAACACTTCGGACATCGCCTGGAACGACGGACATTGGCCTATCGTTGGCTGTAGACACACAGACTCACCGTATCGAAGGATTAATTGCCCAACGACAACATCACACAAACAAACAGGTCCAAGAACATACAGGATTGAGCCGCTATCGGGAATTATTCTATACGCTGCGACTACGGAGTATCCGTACACATGGACTGGGGTACAGAGTGCTACGCGAAAAGACAGTCACAGACTGTCAGATCAATCCACCGAAATTTCGGAAGCACGATGACGTTGTGTTGGTTTTACATACCCAACCATCTTTTTGGCAATGCTCGCCTAGCGCGATACAGTCGATCCCGGGCTTTAGTATCAGGACTAGCAGCAGCGGATGTTGTGATTGTCGCTGTAGATTCGCACGTTCTTCCGCTATGAGCGTGATTGGGAAATTGGGGATTTGAGAAGTCACCCGCAGCTCAGGTCATCCCGTCCATGTTAGACATACAGTAAGTGGTATTACCACTCGCGTGGCTCCAGATCTGAGCTGCACTAAGTCTGACACTATGAGATCCACTACTGAACACTATGGATTGGCGGCGTAGCGACGTACGGGAAGGATGGGATAGTTATGAGACTCGGTGTGTGTGGACGGAAATCGGATTACTATTCGTATACTTGGGGTCACGAGAGATTCAGAATCTTTGTTTTCTCTTGCTTTTTTTTTCGCCCATTACTTCCGTTCGTCCTTGCGGCTGATTCTTCACCGACTCGCCAACGAGCCCCAGCTGGCTGAGTGCAGTGCAGGACGAGTCATGTTTTCTGGTGGGAATCAGACTTCGGAACACACGGTCGGGGATAATCAACCTCAAACGCAGTGTCAAAAAGTTTAAGATCGCTCAACGGTTTCTAAGGACGGCCGTGAAACCAGGGGGACGGAAGGGTGGGAAAATTCCTCTCTGTGGCGGTAGTTCCATTCCGTCGCCTCCGTGCTCTTGGGCCCCTGGCTGGCTGGCAAGCAACCGAAGAAGAAGAAGCAAAGAAAGATTCGATTGCAGGGAAAATCCGTCGGCATCTTCTCCATACAATATTGTCCATTGTGTGCAGACCCCCTCGCGTCCTTGGCGGCGGTGGTTGTTTGCCATCCCCGGATGCGGCGCTTATTGTCAAGACTGAAGAAAAGTTGAACAATTCTTTGCAGACTACGGAATATGACTACGGAATACGGAATTTGATAGCAAACAACCATCTATTCAGTGTCTCTATCTCTTAATTTTCTCCATGCGACTGATATACCAATCTTGATCACCTGTATCGGGCCCACAAGATACAATAGCGCCAGTCCACACCGTAAGGACGTGTTGACTGCTCACCTTTGACCAACTTATACTATTGCTCCGTATTATGATTATTGGCATTAACCAAGTTTTGAAGAATCACGCCCCACACTGCTGGATGGAATTGTCTACGATATAATAGTACGAATAAAGATATGGTGATAGAGTAGTGGTAGTATGCCGTATCCCCCTATCTCGGTCTCTCCTGATTGACTGGATCCACCGTCTTTCTTGCCGGACAACATACCGAATTTCAGGATCTGCTGTCTGTCAGTAAGTAACCGTATATCACCACGATGCAGATTATTCTGTATGTATGCGATGTGAAGACTCGTACAGGGTCTTTACACCGCATGTTATGAAATACCCCGACACAAACAAACGGCGCGGTGGTAGGTGGGAGAGTTATCTGCATGCAAGTCATCCGGTTTCTACCCAAGACCAACAACAAGTGCTTCCGATTGTTTGTATGTAAGTATGTAAGTATGTAAGTATGTAATTTATTACAGCGATCTCCTTATTCCATACAGAGAAAAAAAAATATATATATACATATATTTTAAAAAATAAAAAAGAATAGTGGACACCGGCTGGTTTTCCAGAATTCCGGCAGTGGAGAATTTTTTATAGTTAACAGGTAACAAAATAACAAAAAATTAAAAAGTTAGTCGTGGGGCAGTGAGATCTATCAACTTTCGAAACCAATAACCACACTTTTTCCGGCCTTCTGGAAAGTCGATCAGTCGAAATTTAATTTAAAATTTGCGTCTAGTACTTTGGCCGGTACTCCGGAGTACTTTGGGTAGCCGGTTCCCCGGAGTCAATATTATACGTCCCTAAAATGATCTGTTCTGTGTGAAAGAAGGGAAGAGTAGTAGTAATTTGGAGCGGTTCCACCCCCTATACTATTGCTCAGTCTCTCTCTCTGTCAATCGGATCATCGGAGGCCCCCGATTATTCTGTTCAGTTGGAACCCGTAGCTTAACCCCGTCCGGTGGATCCGGGCCATCATTCAGTGACGATATTATGTTTGTATGGAGAATTCGGAATATCCACCCTGCAGCTGGGATCTGTACCGTACAGCTGTGTTTGTAACCCGAAAAATAAAATAAATAAATAAAATTTTTTTTTTTTTAAAAAAAAAAAAAAAAAAAAA